ATAAAGTTGGTTCAATGGAGTGGCCTATAATGTCTTATGGGCCATGAAGTAGATTCTCATTTATGGTGACCCTGATAGGGTTTCCAAGGTATGTGAGGCATTTAAGAAATGTTTTTTAACATTGCAGCTCTTAGTGAGCCTCCGAGACACAACAGGGATTTGAATCCAAATCTCTTGAGTCCTACTGTGATTTTCTATCCACCACACTACAACAGCTTTCAATAGCACAAGACATAAAGCCTTTGGTTCAAGACCTCTTTTGTTCTTGGGAATACAGTGGGGTCTTGACTTACGAACGGCCCGAGTTACGAACATTTTGACTTACAAACCGCTCTCATAGGAAAATATTGACTTGACTTAAGTACTTAGATTTGAGTTACAAACTGAAAAAACCACGTGGGAGGCAGGGAAAGTGCAAAATTTGAACTTTCAGTTAACTGTTGGCCAGTGAAAAGGGTGCCTGTCTGCTTCCTCCCAGCGTTTAGAGAGTGGATTGGGAGACAGTCTTCAGATTGCCTGGTACTGCCTGGACTGTATTTTCCCTGCCTTCCCTGAACCTTTCTTGACCTAAGAAAAAAAGAAACAAAATATCCCCCTTTAGTGGTCGAAGGCGGAATAGCAGCTTCCCATTAGTTTCTATGGACGGGAAAGAGCAGATACGGATCAAATGGTTTTCAATGCATTCCTATGGGAAATGCAGATTTGACTTGAGAACTTCCTGACTTGAGACCCGCCTTCCAATACGGATTAAGTTCGCAAGTCAAGACCCCACTGTACAATACTGTAGTGCCTTCCTTTGGCTGAACAGTGAATTCATCATGGGTAAGAGGAGATTCTGAAAAGAAAGGTTAGTTTTTCGATGAGAACTCTTAAAATCCCAGAATGAAGTAATGCTTAGGGATGGATGGGTTCTACCTACATTAGCTGGGGAAAATGCCTAAACTGGAAATCTCTGAGGCTCAGTTCTGCACAAGCTTCCTGTTCCTGTGCCCAGTTAGCCGGAAGCTTGAGCAGAGATAGGCCTAGCTAAGCTCCAAAGCCTTCCAATCTAGGTATCTATATGGTGTCTGCAAAACAGATAGAGCTGGCTGGATAGCTCAGTGAGTTAGGTATCTTGCTGCAGAGCCAGAGGTTTGGAAGTTCACTTCCCCCACCAGCCTGTGTGGCCTGGGCAAGCTACACAATCCAAAGATGTCTCAGAAGAAGGAAATGGCAAATCACTTCTTAGAAGAAAACTCTAAAAAAGGTTGCCGTAAATCAGAATTTACTTGAAGCCACACCATTATTATTACTGTTGTTGTAAGCAGAACTCCCAGAACGGAGAATGATGGTACATGAAATCCAGAAAAATCTAAAAATCCCATCCCTAGTCATGATATAGCCTAAAGGAATTTTTCAGCCTAAAACTCAGAAATGTGAGCATAAATAGCTGGGATCCAAAATATCTTTGGTGTGTTGGAGAAGAAGGGGGCAATGCAAGATTGCACCAATTTTCCTGGCAAACTGAAATCCTTCAAACCATGACCACTTTAGAGGGCCTCTAGACTGTAAGAACAATTTACAACTCCCTAGCTGGGAAGGGAAAATACTGGTCTACCTGATGCTGCAAAACATACAATTCTTATGTTATGTGCCATCAAGCTGGAACCAAATTAATAGCAACCCTAATATGATTTCCAAGAGATGTGGCACGTTAAAGGAGTACATAGTTTTGCTCTCCCCCTGAGTTTCCATGCCTGAGCGAGGATTCAGACCTAGGTCTCCTAAGTCCCACTACACCACGCTGGGTACACAATACAGGAATGATAAGCTGGCCTGCCTTAACACCATTCTTGTAAGGACTACTGAAATAATGTGAGGTACTTCTACATACTGTACTATCCATGTTAAGTATTATTTCAAATCAAAATACTGCATGTGCCCATAAAACACCAAGCAGAAAAAACTTCAAACTTAAAAATAAGCATCCAAAAAAGCTGTGAAGTTGTGAGTTTAAGGAAGATGCCCAATATAAACAAATACAACAGAAACACTGTTTACAAGGCAACTTACGAGACGTCACTAGGAAAATATTTCTTTACCTTGAGATTTTAACACCATGTGCTGTTATTATTGTCATTGCAAAGAGTTCCCCGATTTTTAAAAAAGGAACACATTTGGACAAATAGGAAAATTAGTGCATACTGAAGATAAAACCCAACATACTAATTGAACTGATATCTGTTTCATAAAAACTTTCCCATTCCTTGTGAAAGTGCAGAGATCCATACCAACAGTACCAATCCAAACATACTGATGCCTCAACCTCATCATTCATTTACCAAATAACGGACAGCAGTCATCTGAAGATAAATCCTTATGGCACACACACAAAAGTTTTCATAATATCAAGAGATCCCTAGAAGCCATCCAAACAAATACACATTGTTTTAAAAGTGTATATGTTGCGCTTTGCCAGCCCCTTGGCAAAAAGCACACAGAGTGGTTTCCCACAGAAAACAGATGAAAAAGATCTAACCACTGAAGGTATAAAGTTGCCTGGGCAGAAAAGAAGCGGGGGGGGGGGAGGTAGAAATAAACATACCTATCACACCCATGTGCAAAATCCAAAACAAAACAAAAAAAACAGTGGTGTGTGATACCTTTACTAGACCACTAAAATAGCATAAACAGGTGAGCTTTCAATATCATTTCCTTCATAAGGTTGGGCATTAGAGTGCTTGGGATTGGGAGGGGACAGAAAATCCCTCAAATCATCCAGGTTAGATGTCTGAGCTTCAGGATATGTTCAGTAGCTGTTGCATCATGTACTGTACGCTGCCTTCCTTTCCACATGGTTGCCTTCCCCAATACAATGCCCTCCGAATCTGCTGAACTACAACTCTCATAAATGAATCGTAGTTCAACATGGCTGGAAAGCACTAGGGTGGCAAGGCCTGCTTTACTGCACACCTTTAATAAACCAACCCTGTGCATATTGACTTGGAAAGAACTCCTAATAATTTCAGTGTAACTTACACTTTGCATAAGATCATGGTAGTTAGAAGAAAATAAATATGTCGCTGCTAATCTCAGCTTTAAACTCCTTTCCAACCTATTTACTTAAGTTGCAAGCAAGCCTAAAGTCAAGTTAGTGGCACTTACTTCAAAGAAATCATCTCTGCTACTGTGTTAAAAAATTGGCATGAAATGTAGGACTACATTAAAGAAATGCATACAGTCCAAATTAGTAAGTGACATTTGATTTGGTATAAAAGGGTTTTTTCTGAAATGAAAAGCAGCCAGTACTCTATAATCTAGGAGCCCGCCAAAAACAAACAAACAAGAGCAAGTTGTAAACAAATGTGCCAGTTGTTTTTTTTACACCTATTGTTTCCTTAGTTTGATACGGAATTAAAAACACAACACTTTCATCAAATACAGTAAACTGTTTCTCATCCATGTTATTTTGCAGTCTTTTCCCTCCCTGCTTCACAACAACTGGACTATTGCTGCAAGCACTATCACATATGTTATAAAGTGTACAGAATGCAATGCTGCCTTAGACTGAGCAACAGCAACAATAAACTGCATTTGTAAATTACATGAAATTAGACAATAATCCATGCCACAGAGTTTTATATATTATTACTAAGCCAGCATTTCCCCAAGTGAAGTTTTGTAGCAGTAATTAACCTAATTGCCTTTCTGGCAGCCTGATTCCTTATTTCTCAACACAACTGATCCACAAGGAGGGAAAAGGCAGCCAAAGGAGGCACCAAATGCTTACACCATTGCCAACCTGCACAGAAACAACAAATCCACGGGAGTTTAGGAGCTGTCCCAAATCTCCAGAACTTTCAAACTCTCCCAGCCAAATGGACAGTCATTGTTTTATCAGCTCACTGCTTTATCATTTAGAGCCTTACTGCCTTCTGCAGCAGAGCTAGAAAAAAAAAAACAGGGGTCGATGGATCTAGTATGTGGTAAGTGAACTGTGTGAAGCTGGGGGTAGCAGCTGAGAAGAAATATTTAAATTCTGGGGAATAACTAAAGATGGATTTTGGTCTTTGGTGAAGACTTCCACTGTTATAGGTCAGGAATAGGCAAATTTAGCGAGGCCGCAAAATCCATCAGCCTTACTAGGCAGCAGAGTCAATAATGAAGGCTGATGACTTGGAGAGGGCCAAAAGTTGCTCAGTCCAGGACAGAAAGCTCAGTCGACACAACCGTTCCTGCTTCAATCATTACAGAGGAACACAGCCAAACATCTGGTTTCCTTAAATTGGAAAGACCACTGAAAGGCACACCTGGCACAGCCATTGAAAAGGCTGAGAGTGACACAAAGTGAGAAGATGTGGACATGCCCCCCCTGCTGACATTCCATTCTCCAGCTACTGCAAGATGCACACCATCATTCCACTTACATCCCTTCCTTGCACCCCCTATTCCAAGGGTCTTCTTCCCATCAACTGTCAATACCCTGTCCTCTCACTATTCATTCCCGCTTGGCTCTTCTGAACTTCCTATCATCTCCTCCATGCCTGCTGCACCCTACCACCTGCAGCTACTTACTCCCTTGCCTTCTCCTCTCTCCTGCCCTGCTCTGCTCGCATTTAAAATCTCCCCGGCCTCCAAGGCCATTCCTGCGTCAAGGCATTCAGAGGTTAGATGCCCCCTCTCATGGTCACTAGACCTCCCATTCCCCTGTGTCAGGAAGCCTCCCCTTTTGCAGCAAAACTACTCAAGGAACGGCAGGACCCCAACTCTCCTCCTGGTGAGTCAAGCAAGCGCCCAGCACTCCTCGCCTGTCTTTCACACAAATGATCTCATGATATTAAGCATGGCAACGGCTCGGGCTATTAATAACATCCCCGGGGGACTGGGTGGCATGAGCCTGGAAAGGTGCTGTCCGGAAGGGAGATCCTCTCATATGCATGCGTGTGCGTGTGTGTGCAATTAATGGAGCGGGCGGGCGCGCGGGGGGAGGGCAGAGCAGGCGGCTTTGCCTGCCGACTTACCCGCGGGGGGCATGGTGCTGGTCTCGTTGGCGTTGTTGGTGCCCGTGTTGTAGATGACCACCGCCGAGGCGTTCTGCGAAGCGGCGTGTCGGATCTTATCCTTGAACGTGCAATTCCCCTTGGGGATCAGCGCGATCCAGATTTTGCCGGGCCCCGGCACGGCGAACCGGGCGTTGGGGTCGCAGGCTTGCCGATCGGCGGCCGTCGAGGTCATCACCACCTGCCCCCAGACATCGTGCTTGGGCGACTGATCCCCGTAGCGGCCGCACTCGGTCTTCTCGCTGCGCAGTTCGCCGCCGCCGCCGCCGCCGCCGCCGGGATCCGGGTAAGTGATGTTCACGAAGGCCGTGTACCACTCCTCTTTTTCGGCCACCGTGAAATCCAGGCACAGCAGATGCACGAAACAAAAGGAAAGCAGCCATGTTGAGAGAGCCAGACTGCGGCACGCTTGGATCACAGACATTGCCATCTTTGCCTTCTGCTCCTGCTCCCGCCGCCGTCCGCCCCCCCCTGTGCGCGTGTCTGCATGTGGAGGGGCGCGCGCGCAGGCAGGCGGGCGGGCGCGCGAGAGAGCCCGGGCGCGCGTGTGGAGCAGGATGGACGTGTGTGTCGGGGCACGCCAACCTACCCTGAGTGGCTGCAGACGCGCGGGCGCCTCACCTTTACAACCCGGCCGGCATTTCCAGCCGCTTTTTTTTTCCTGGAGACGGTTGTGTTATTTTGGTTCCTTCGTTTCCCTCGGCCTTTCTTTCTTTCTTCTCCCCCGCCCGCTTTCCTTCTTTCTCGGCTCTTCCCACAGCCGCTCCCTGTGCCCGAGAAAGGCGGGCGGCTGAGCTGGCGCGCGCAGCCAAAGGGGTGCCTTTCAATCCCAGCAAGGCTTCTCCAAGCAGGCGCTGCCAGCAAAGGGAGCCGCCGCCGCCGCCGCCGCCTCCTGATGCCGGCTGGAAGAAAAGCCCCAAAGAGAGTTGGATCTACGGCGGCCGCGAGCGGGGCTGTTGCTGCTCCTGTTCCTGCTCTTGACCTCTCCCATTCTCCCCCTCCAACCCTGCCCGGCTAGGT